GTCAGTTGAACTCAGGATTTATAAAGAGGTCTTTCTCCTCTTCTAACAATGCTGCTGTTGGTTCGTGCCTGTTTATTGGTCAGAGTTATTCTGCTTGTTTCATAGCTGGCCTGGTTCATATCTGAAAGTTGTTCCACCACCTGGGGACATCCCTTGTATAAGTCAGCCCTGCCTATGGGCCTAGTTTCCTTGTTGTTTTTTTATCTTGAAGATAGATGTTGCCTGGCCACCATTCATATTTCTGTAAAAAAAATAGACACTTCGGCCAGTTAGAGTTTCATTTTCTCAACGTTTCAACAAAAATCTTTTGTACAAGAAAATAAGACCTAATCCAAATAATTTAATAGTGTGTGATGTTTTAGTAACAGCATTGTTACCATCTTGAGACAAAAGAATAAATGAGATTGTCATTTATTCTTTTGTCTCAAGATGGTAACAACACTGTTGCTGAAATGTCACACATAATTAAATTATTTGGATTAGGTCTTATTTTCTTGTATCTATAATCCAAATTGTGCTTTATCAAAAATCTTTTGTCTTCATCAGGAGATATAAATAAAAATAAAGTATTTGGCAAGGCATACCATTGTTGTTTTCAGTTATAAAGATGAATACAACTCTGCCTTTGTCTGTCCCAAGCCCGGATGAAAAAGGAGGAGAGGGAGCAGTAACAAGCTCACTAAAAAACCTGGGCTCAGCTGGCCATGCTGATAGTACCCTGTAAGGTCTCCAGGGATACAGGATAAGCAGAGTTTGTACTCCATGTTAGGAGCGGCTGTACATGGCATCTGTTCCTCATGTCACCATGTCATATTGGAGCTAAGTCAGTGGCCTGCTACTGAGTAGTGCTCCCAGTCTTAATGACAAAGACATTCTACTTCACCCAGTCATGATGGTTGTCAAACATCAAGGGTCACAACTTGATACCCTAATATGGTTGAGTGGAGATAAGGAAGATGAATACATACCCAAGGTCCGTGATCACCACGCTGTCCTTTATCTCCGTGAAATCCTGGAAATCCTGAATGACCCTATACACAGTCCGATGTCATATTTACCTTCAGGTCACTACAATGATGGACTTACTGGTTTTCCAGGGTTCCCGGGGACTCCTGGCTCTCCACGGACTCCGATGGAATTGATGCCTCCATCTCCGGGATCACCCTGGATTAAAACATCATTTTTATGTTTATATGATAAAGCATGATTTAGATTATAGATCATAGCTATAAGAAAATAAGATCTTAATGACAAAGGCAGACACATTCTTTTTTTTTTGCTTATTGCTAGTACATGTGGCACAGGCCATGATAATCATGGTGGTTAGAAGTAGGCGACTGCTTTTACTGTAAGTGCACCACATGTGAAAAGCAGTTCGACTTTGCACTTACAAATGTGCCAGAGCCCCGTTTGGTTACTTGCACTCGCTGGTGGGGTTGGACTTTTGCAAGAATCGGGGGCCATTGGAGCTTTTTTTTTTTAAACATAAAAAAGTGCCCAATGCGGGAATCGAATCCGGGTCGCAGCGGTCGAAAACCAATGGATTAAACCATCCTTCCACCGACCCCCAAGACACATTCTACTTCACCCAGTCATGATGGTTGTCAAACTTTACAAGCTTGATACCTTAATATTATTAAGTGGAGATAAGAGAGAAGAAAAAGACAAAATAAGAACTAATCCAAGTAAATTAATAGTGTGTGATGTTTCTGTAACAGCGTTGTTACCATTATCAGACAAAAGAATAAATGATAATCTCATTTATTCTTTTGTCTGAAGATGGTAACAACGCTGTTACAGAAGCGTCACACACTATTAATTTATTTGGATTAGGTCTTATTTTCTTATATTCATGTTTATATAAAATAGGTTTCATAAGTTTTAGAATCTTATATTTATAATAAATCTTTTAAGACGCACATCTTTCTCTATCCTCTTTCCTTTTTATTTATAAAGACAGCAATGTGTATACAGTAGAACCTCCCTTTAGTGGACACCCAACTTGCGGACACCTCTCTACAAAGGACAGTTTTCATTTGCAAAATTAACATTTTCACTATTTGGCAACTCTCCAGTAAGAGGACACTTCTCCCTAAATGACATTTTAGCTCTGTAACTAGGTGTTGTCCTTTACAGAGAGGTAGTTCTACTGTATTTAGCAACTCTCTGGTAAGACGACATCTCTCCCTAAAGGACACTTTGGTTATGCAATTAGGTGTTGTCCTGTACAGGGGGATTTTACTGTATATACATTGAAGTTTAAATATATAAGGATTAAAAGATTACATGAGGAGCTTCTTTTTAGATTTATTGCGAGCTTTCGAACCTTCCGGTTCTTCAACGGGCATGGATAGCATGAATATACTAACAAGATTAATACACATTTGAGCCATTATATACAACATACATATTTACATACGAAGCAATAGTTTCAAATGTAAATTAAAATTGAACTATTTATAAGAATTATGACTATAAAAATATCAAACTATGCAAATAAAACTTAAACTTTTTAGAATTTGGTAAAATTCGGGAATAACATTTATGTACGCTAAAAATTGGAAATGAACGACAAGCAGGGGTCCCTCCAACCAGGTTACACTACAAAGGTTATCTAGGACAACAAGGAAGATAATTATTGTATTAAAATATGGTAGACTTCAGGAAGATCTATTTTTCTGTTGATACTGTTAGTTTGAGTGAAGATGACTGATTCTAGATATAATCTAACCTGCTTGCTGCGTATATGCTGATAAAGGATTTTGGGATGGTCTAAGATTAAATTTATGGCCTGTGTGTGATATATGTTGATATATGAGTGATTTAGGATCCCTATTATTTATGTTCCGTTTATGTTCTGTTAATCTGATGTGCGCGGTTCTACCAGTCTCGCCAACATAGGAGGCTGGGCAATCTTGGCAAGAAACAGCATACACAGCACCAGTGGAATGGATGGGGTTGTTAGGTTTATCTGCTTTGGTGATGGGATTCCTGAGAAGGGTTGCAATATTAGGAGGACTGTTGTAAAAGACCTGAATGCCGTAAGGGCGAAGAATTCTGGAGATGGAAATGGAGATCGGGGAAAAGGAAGGAAACAAGTGGCTTTATAAACAGCAGTTGACCTTGGAGCAATAGCATCAAAATAATGTTTTTCTATGGAATATCTGGGGTATCCTGCAGTGGTCAAAAGGGAAATTATTCTGGATTTTTCTATGGTTTTAAATATAGGTAAAGAGCAATGTGTGTATAATCTTTTAGTTAAGGTCCTGCCAGTATTCATTTTATAGGCTATGGGACTATTGGAGGAGAAATGGGTGTATAGAGGTGGTATGCCCTTTTTGTGGAATACTGTTGTGTGTATCTTGTGCGGGGTGCGAATAATCAGGATATCTAGAAAGGGTAACACTAGGTCTATTTCAGATTCGTATGTGAATTTAATGTCTGGATGGAAAGTATGTAGAGTATTGAGTATGTGTCGGAGCTTATTGGTTTTGACTATGCAAAAGATGTCATCTACATATCTCCTCCAATAATGAATGTCAGAAGAAAGGGTTTGATTGATCCACTGGTCCAAGGATCCCATCACCACTTCAGATACTATGAATGAAAGTGGGCTGCCCATTGGTGTTCCTCTGATCTGTTTGTAGTATTGGTGGTTGAAAGCGAAAGCGCTGATGGAAAGACACAAGGTGGTCAGCTGGGTTATCTGGGCTATTACTTGGTCATCAATATTGGCTGCTTTAAGAAAGGACTGTAGTTTTTCTGTAATAAGTTTGTTTTTTTATGATAAACTGTAGTGTGAAATGAGGATGGGGTGCGAATAATTAAAATATCAAGGAATGGGAACAGAAACTAACCATGTTATCCCATTCCTTGATATTTTAATTATTCGCACCCCATCCTCATTTCACACTACAGTTTATCATAAAAAAACAATGCCCCCCCCTGTTACACTCACTACAATTCTCACTGTCCTACCTCCCATAAAATCAATATTGTCAGAACCCTTACAAAAAGAATATACACCCATTGTTCCATAGACATCTTTAAAATAATAGAAAGAAATTGTATCATAACCCAGCTCTCCGCAGCTTCTTTTCCGCTTTCGTTTATTAAAAAATATACTTATACACCTACAACTTCCAATCCTTCCATGACTTACAGATCATTGTGCTTTCTCCCTTACTCCCCCTCCTCAGTAGATATAGCCAGAAAACTTAAATCTTATAGGATAAGTAAAAAAAAAAAAAACTTAAATCTTATGGCATCCGTACCATATATAAAAACTCCCCGAATATTCTTTCACCCCTCCGTCATCCTCATACTAAGTCCTCAGCTCCTCCTGACCCTCTTCGTTCTATGGGCGCAGTCTACTCCGTCTCATGTGAACAGTGTCCTGCCACTTACATTGGTGAGACAGGTAGATCTGTGGCCATCAGGATGACTGAACATTCCCGTAATATTTCAAGGCAAGATACCAAATCCCTCATTTATCAACATATGCAGAGCACAGGCCACACTTTCAACATCAAAAACCCCACCATACATTACAGGCACATACATGTCTTACACAAAAGACTTATCCATGAATCCATAGTATCTCACAAACTGAACAGCATCAACAGAAAAATAGATCTTCCCGAAGCTTATCATCCTCTCCTGTCCTTTATTTAAACCTCCCACATGTTTATTTCAATAGCCCTAATCATGCGCCGTCTCGTGGTTTCAGACTGCAGATTTAATATTTACTTTTCTCAAAATCGGTCTTCTGTTAATATATTAACAAATATAAATAGTTTAAAAACTTTATTTTTATATATATATTCCTTCCTACCATTTGTACCATAGTTCTTATAAGTCGCGCTTCATTGCTCGCCTGTTGAAGGGTTTTTACCCGAAAGCTTGCACCTATGCATCAATAAAAGAAACTCGTCTTCCATCACCATGTTATTCGTTTAAGAGAAAAATATGTTTCTTAAGAAGAATTCTATAATTTTCTCGTTTTGTGTGTAGTGGTTATTACGTTCACTTTACACGCGAAAGGTTCTCGGTTCAAACCCGGGCAGAACCAAACTTTGTTTTAAAGAATTCTATAAAAAAATAAATCCTTCAAATACACATCCTATACAAACCAGACGTTAGTGAAATGGTTGATAGAACTGTTGACTTTGCTTAGAATTTTTAAAGAAACTGATTCCAGGAATATTAATCAAACATTATTGATTTACAAGAGAGAGAACAAAACTTATAACATAGTAAACAAAGAGAAACTTCTCTTCTTACAGTTAGCTCCTATTTACATGTGATCTTACACATATACTCTGTGGGAACAATTAATTAATTAAACTTAAAATATGTACAGTAGAACTACCTCTCTGTAAAGGACAACACCTAGTTACAGAGCCAAAGTGTCCTTTAGGGAGAGATGTCCTCTTACCGGAGAGTTGCTAAATTGTAAAAATGGTAATTTTGCAAATGAAAAATGGCCTTTGTAGAGAGGTGTCCTCTAGTGGGAGTGTCCTCTCATGGAGGTAGTTCTACTGTATAACAACAAAAATAAACTTTGTAACAAAATTTGATACATTTAAAGAAAGACATTTCCAAATTAAGACTACTTCTTTCTTAGCATTCACAAAACCAGCAACCTTCAAGAAAAACTTCCCCGAAATAGAACCTTCACTCAAGCAACCTTCCTGGAAGCAAACAGAGCTTCAAGGACTCCACCTGTGGCCAGATTCTAGTTATTTTAAGATGTCTTACCTTGGGACCTAAAGGACCTGGATCACCAGGTGGACCTTGAGGTCCGGGAAGTCCTGGATTCCCTGGATGACCTGGTCGACCCTAGAACCACAGGACATTTAGAATAATTGGACTTTTGACAAGTGAAAGTGGAAACATAATGGGTGGCTAGATACAATTCAGTAAGATATTCTAACTACAAAGTAATAAGACACCCCCCCCCCCAAATAAATAGTGTGTGATGCTTCTGTAACAGTGGTGTTACCATCTTCAGACAATAGTACTGAATGAGAAAATATATCACAGCAGGTTTTAAATAGTTACTGTTATCAAGTGTGTAAATATGATAGCAGATATGAAGAAGATAGTTTTAAAGAGGGTTTTTTTTCCACTTCTAATTCTAAGAATAATATTTTAGATTTCTTAAAAAACTATCTTATCTATCTTGTTTACATGTTGTTGTTTCTTATCCCCTTGTGCAAAGATTACACGAATTCCATGAGTTCATGATCTCATGGAATGGGGGTATAGGGGTGTAGCTTTCATTGATCATGGCACCATGATCCAGGCACACTTTGGTGAAAGTCTGACTGTAATTTGAGGCCGTTTCTAACATGGAAGCCTTTGCTGCTGACTCTAACATGAGCACAGACACAGCTCCTCCGTATCCCTGGAGTGGGACCATTGCTGAGGTCCATCAACCGGGTCAGTTGAACTCAGGATTTTTAAAGAGGGAGTGTCCCTCTTGGTTACAGCATCAAGTCTACCAGAACAAGACTTGATGGTGTAGAAAGTTTACTGTACCTCCCAACAATGTCCACTGCACCACAGGCCAAGTACAGAGGGGTAAGCATATCTTGTTTACATACTTGATAACAGTAACTATTTAAAACATGCTGTGTTCTATCTCTGATTAGCTAAGTCAGTGGCCTGCTACTGAGTAGTGCTCCCATTCTTAATGACAAACGCATTCTACTTCACCTAGTCATGACTGCAGGAATGGAAATCTAATGCTGGACATGACTGGTACAGAGCAGGAGGGACAACCATCAATTCTGTCCTCCCATGATAACAACAGTCTTCGATTTCCAGACTTAAGTCTGGTCATCTACGGACAATGACAGAATGGTTGCAAGGTTTTCCCACTATGTACTAAGTGTCAACCTGCAACCCCAAAATACATTATTGAATGTATTGACTCATCCATTGATGAGTTCTACTCTTCCCCAGCAGACACCATCAACAAGCTTTACAGTTTGATACCCTAATATGATTGAATGGAGATAAGAAAGAAGAAGAAGAGAAGAAAACATGCTGTGATTTATTTTCTCACTATACACTTTGGTTAGTTGCCCGTAAAGAATAATTCTTTTGTCTGATGATGGTGACAATGTGCTGTTGTCGAAACATCACACACTAATTTAAATTATTTGGATTATGTCTTATTTTCTTGAGTTAAATTTTAGTTTAAAAACTTGGTTTTATAGTTGACAAATATTTCATATTGACTGATCAATTTTCTATAATATAAATAATGACTGGTCAATATAAATATTCTTTTTTTTATCATCATCTTTCTGCATTATCGTTTTCTGGCTTCTGTAAATAACGACCGTCCGCGTCGTTAGTTAGACTTAATATCTAATCTAAATTACTCTATTTCTCCATAGGGCGCCTCTCCTGTCAAAATAAACGTCAAAACCTGACGCCATCTATTGACCGTCACCGTAAACTAGCAGCCTTGGGTCGCTAACAAAGCCACAACACCAGCTTTGGCAAACTGAAAATGTCCACCTAGAGACCATGGTTTCTGGCTAATGGCCCTCGTCAGTCTAGGGCGGACTTTATTCCATGAGATCCACACGGGATCTAAAGAGGTGTTTAGCTGGCAAAGTGGCTGGGCCAAATCTATGGCTGAAATATAGATGGAAATTTTGCAGAGAGGAAATTGATCCATAGAAGCATAGGGCGCCTCTCCTGTCAAAATAAACATCAAAACCTGATGCCATCTTTTGATGTTTATTTTGACGGGAGAGGCACCCTATGCTTCTATGGACCAATTTCCTCCCAGAAAATGTTCTATCGATACTCTATTTCTATTATAAATATATTGTATAATCCTATTGTTTAAATAAATACATATAGGATTAGTACGAGTTAAAATAATTTGTTTACAACTACGCGGTAACCCTAAATACACAACAATAGTTTTAAAAAGATATCTATTGTGATAAAAAGAATGATTTGAAAATTAATGGTGGTATTACATCAGTTCCATTGCACCCGATCAATCCTGGTTCTCCACTGGATCCTTCACTTCCTGGAAGTCCCTGTAAACAACACAAACCGAACATTTAACATTCAACAAGACTATAGCCCTTATGTTTCAACCATTTTTATCATTACAGTAGGGTCTATAGAGAACTATTTAATGCTATATGTGAAAAGAAACACATTACCAAAACACCAATCGTATGAAAATTTGAAACTATTATAGACGTGAAAAAAGAGTACAAATGTGATATTGTACTGGGATAAGGTGTATAAATTATGAAAAAAGGCATCTCCTTATTGTGTAACTGAAATTGCTGATGGCTTGCGCCATCTATACGAAACACGTCCGTGGTTAGCTTTTCTTGATTAATCAAGAATGGGTATTTGGTTAATTATTCCAGAATTAAAAATCCAACGAGAATTGTTGATATTTATTCTGATAGATGGCGCAAGCCATCACCAACTTTCAGTTGCACGATAAGGAGATGCCTTTTTCATATTATAGATGTGTAATTAAACAATTTCTACTGCCGTTACTGTCATTAAAAAAAAAAATTTTAAGTAATCATACACGTCTATAATAGTTTCGAATTTTCATAACAGATGGCTCGCTAATGCATCATAACACCAGTCTTATACAGATTCTCCTCTTTGGATTCAACATCTAAAGATATAATTATTTGATTTTCATTTAGCTTCATTACAATAATATCTTCTTTGGGGGGGTCGGTGGAAGGCTGGTTAAACCGTTTGGCTTTCGAACACTACGACCCGGGTTCGATTCCCACAATGGACACTTTTTTCAGTTTAAAAAAATATATTAAAAAATGCTCCAATGGCCCCCTGATTCTTGCAAAAGTCCAACCCCACCAGCGAGTGCAAGTAACCAAACGGGGCTCTGGCACATTTGTAAGTGCAAAGTCAAACTGCTTTCACATGTGTAGACATGTTAGCGCTTACAGTAAAAAAAAAAAGCAGTCACTAACTACCCACCATGATTATCATGGCCTGTACCACGTGTACTAGGGATAAGCAAATATATATATGATGTATTTCTACTATAGATGTGTGAAAAATTAGCAGTCGTTTGTGGCTGTCTCCCCCTCAATCATCTCTCTCTTTATTTTCCAAATCTTTTATACAAAAACAAAATTTACATACATGTTAACTGCTTTAAAATTTACATATTAAAATATTTATATTGTACAATTGAATTTAGAGATTTTGGTTTTATTTGCATACATAAAATTGAATTTAAGGAAATGAGAGGGAGAGAGGAACTATGAACAAAGCTAAACTGGAAATTTACTTTCTATCATTCAAAATGTATCATATATACACTGCGTGACATTGAAAATGGAACACCAAGAAATAGTGGCCAGAAAGTGATGAAACTCGGCAGACAGAGAGAGACAGGGACGAACAATAAGTGATCTTTATTTCAAAATGATAGTCATAATACAGAGCGAGAACGGCGTCGGCTTAGTAGCAAGTAGGACCACCGCGGACGGCGATGCACGCAGCAACACGTCTAGGTAGAGAGTCAATCAGAGTACGGATGGCGTCCTGAGGGATGGCTCTCCATTCCCTCTCAACCATTTGCCACAGTTCGTCTTCTGAACGCGGCTGTGGCAAGGCATGCAAACGGCGTCCAATGATGTCCCAGACGTGCTCGATTGGTGAGAGATCAGGAGAGTACGGTGGCCAGGGAAGCATCTGTACATCTTGCAGAGCTTGTTGGCTAATGCGAGCAGTGTGCGGTCGGGCGTTATCCTGCTGATAAAGGGCATTGGGTACCCCCTGAAGGTAGGGGAGTGTCACCGGTCGCAGCACATCATCAACGTATCGTTGGGCCGTCATAGTGCCCTGAATACGAAGTAAAGGTGACCTGGAATCATACGCGATTGCGCCCCAAACCATGATTCCATGTTGTCGCACGGTGGGGCGTTCCACAATTGCTGCCGGATTGAACCTTTCTCCACGTCGACGCCACACGCCTACACGGCGACTATCACTGGACAAGCAGAAACGCGACTCATCTGAGAACACGACCCTGTG